AGCCCAGAAATAAGGCCACACATCTACAACCATCTGATCTTTGACAAAGCTGACAAAAACAAGCAATGGGAATAGGACTCCCTTTTTAATAAATGGTACTGGGAGAACTGGCTAATCATATGCAGAAGGTTGAAATTGTACCCCTTCCTTATACCATGTACAAAAATCAACTCAAGATGGATTGAAGACTTAGCTGTAAAACCTGAAACTATGAAAGCCCTGGAAGATAATCTAGGAAATATCATTCTGGACATAGGAGCTGGCAAAGATTTCATGACAAAGATGCCAAAAGCAATTGCAATGAAAACAAAAATTGACAAACAAGACCTAGTTAAACTAAAGAGCTTCTGCACAGCAAAAGAAACTATCAACAGAGTAAACAGATGACTTACAGAATGGGAGAAAATATTTGCAAATTATGCATCTGACAAAGATCTACTACCCAGCATCTATAAGGAACTTAAACAAACTTACAAACAAAAAACAAACATCCTTATTAAAAAGTGAGCAAAGGACATAAACAAACACTTTTCAAAAGAAGACATATATGCATCCCCCAAGCATATAAGAGAAAGCTCAATGTCACTGATGATTAGAGAAATGCAAATCAAAACTCCAATCAGATATCATCTCACACCAGTCAGAATAGTGATTATTAAAAAGTCAAAAAATAACAGACATGGGTGAGGTTGTGGAGAAAAGGAAATGCTTATACACTGCTGTTTGGAGTGTAAATTAGTTCAGCCACTGTGGAAAGTGGTGTGGTGATTCTTCAAATAACCTGAAAAAGAATTACCATTTGACCCAGCCATCCCATTGCTGGGTATATACTCAAAGGAACATAAATCATTCTATCATAAAGACACATGCATATGTATGTTTATTGCAGCACTATTCACAATAGCGAAGACATGGAATCAACATAAACACCCATCAATGGTAGACTGGATAAAGAAAATGTGGTACATATACACAATGGAATATTATACAGCCATAAAAAGAATGAGATCATGTCCTTTGCAGCAACATGGATGGAGCTGGAGGCCATTATCCTAAGCAAACTAATGCAGGGACAGAAAACCCAGTACTGCATGTTCTCACTTATAAGTGAAAGGTAAACAGTGAGAACACATGGTCACAAAGAGGGGAACAATAGACACTGGGGCCTGCTTGAGGGTGGAGAGTGGGAGGAGGAAGAGGATCAGAAAAGATACCCATTGGGTACCATGCTTATTACCTGGGTGATGAAATAATTTGTCCACCAACCCCCATGACACACAGTTTGCCTATATAACAAACCTACACATGTACCCCTGAACCAAAAATAAAAGTTATAATTTAAAAAAATGAAGAATAAACCTGTCTGAAAAGAATACCACATTGAGCCACAAGATGCTCAGTAAAAGATGACCCCCAACCCTTGCCCTCACTGCTGGTTGGGAATGGATTGTCTCACACCTGTCTGTTTACACCCTGGTGACACTGTCCTCCTCCTGGCCCTCAGGACTTCAAAATAACTCAGTGTTTTAGGGCAGGGAAACGTATTCACATTTTGCCACCTTCTTGGAAACTGATGTATATTGCTGGTTTCCACTTTTATAAGATCTAATTAAGGGCTGATCAATTCTTTCCCATCCCCAAACCATCTTCAGCTCTTGCTTAAGTTGGAGTGCTGTTTGCCACAGACCTGTTGCTTTGCAGCTGGGTGAGAGTGACTACCTATCCTGATTCTCTGAGACTTCAGACGGGCACAACTACTGGCATTCTGTCAGGTTAAGTGAAGACTCACACAAATATGTCAAATTGATTTTTTTTTTTAAGACAGTCTTACTCTGCTGCCCAGGCTGCAGTGCAGTGGCATGATCAATCTCAGCTCATTGCAACCTCTGTCCCCCTGGGTTCAAGCGATTCTCATGTCTCAGCCTCCTGAGTAGCTGGGATTACATGCACTTACCACCATGCCTGGCTAATTTTTGTGTTTTTAGTAGAGACTGGGTTTCACCATGTTGGCCAGGCTGGTTTCAAACTCCACCTCAAGTGATCCACCTGCCTCAGCCTCCCAAAGTGCTGGGATTACAGGTGTGAGCCACTGCGCCCAGCTGGCCTTTGACAAAGACGCAAAAGCTACTCAGAGGAGGAAAGATGGCCTTTTCAACAATTGTGCTGGAGCAATTTATACCCCTCTGCAAAAAAAGGATCCTCGACCTAAACCTCACACATTAGACAAAAATTTAACTCCAAATATATCATGAACTTAAGTTTAAAATATAAAGTTTTAGGAAAATAGGGAGTTATGGGGATGTAGGGGTGGATGACATGTTCCTAGACTTGATACCAAAAGCAAGATCCATAAAAGAAAAAATTGGTACATTTTACCCCCTTAAAATTTAGAAAAAATTTAAAAACATTTGCTCTAAGAAAGACCCTGCGAAGAGAATGAAAAGACAAGTTACCTCCTGGGAGAAGATATTTACAAACCACATATGTTAGTCTATTTAGCATAGCTATAAAGGAATACCTGATACTAAGTAATTTGCAAAGAAAAGAGGTTTACTTTGGCTTATGATTCTGCAGACTGTACAAGAAGCACAGTGCTGGCATTTGCTTCTGGGAGGCCTCAGGAAGCTTCCAATCATGGCAGAAGGCAAAGGGGGAGCAGGCGTGTCACATGGCAAGAGAAGGAGCAGGAAAGAGAGAGGAGGAGGTACTAGACTCATTTTAACAATGAACACTTGCAGGAACCAATAGAATGAGAACCTACTCATTACTATGAGGAGGGTACCAAGCCGTTACCGACATACATGGTTTTAGTTTGTTTACTCATTTATTTTTGGTGAGAAGCAGCCTCCTCTGCTGCCACAGTCTTCTAACCACGCTCCGGGCTCATTCTTCTCACCAAGCTCCAGGATCATTCTTTTCAGTGCTGGAAAAAGGGGCTCAAGGGCTCTGTCTCATCTTGCGTGGTGGGAGGAAAAAGGGAAGATGGATTCAAACAGGATTAGAGGCCTGGCCCTTTTTTCCTGAAAGGATATTCTGCTCTTGAATTATCAGTAGGCTTCAGGGAGCTTTTGCTTTTAACTTACCACCATCCATATATAGAATCAGAAAACACGGAGCTGAAGGAGTCCACGGAGGTCACCTGCTGCCCACCTTTCCTCCTTGTTCGACAGAGAAGAAAACTGGCGTTCAGGGAGGTGCTGTGACTTTGCCAAGCTCACTCCACCAGTGCTGGTAATTTCTTTTTTTTTTTTTTTTTTTTTTTTGAGACAGAGTTTCGCTCTTGTTACCCAGGCTGGAGTGCAATGGCGCGATCTTGGCTCATCGCAACCTCCGCCTCCTGGGTTCAGGCAATTCTCCTGCCTCAACCTCCTGAGTCGCTGGGATTACAGGCATGCGCCACCATGCCCAGCTAATTTTTTGTATTATTAGTAGAGACGGGGTTTCACCGTGTTGACCAGGATGGTCTCGATCTCTTGACCTCGTGATCCACCCGCCTCGGCCTCCCACAGTGCTGGGATTACAGGCTTGAGCCACCGCGCCCGGCCTAGTGCTGATAATTTTTGAGGTGTCTAGCTATTTTGCAGACACCCAAATCTGGGGAGCAGGGAACACATAGAGAGAGTGGTCCCTGGAGAGAATTAGAACCAGTAACATGAACATGCTTCTTGAAAGATGAAGAGGCAAAGCTTTGGGTGCCATGTTGTCCCTGTGACTTATAGCCTCAGTAGAGCTGGGTGTCAGGCTGAGGTGGTTTCCAGGTTCTTGGTGCTTTCAGGGGGAGCCCAGGCAGAAAGAGGGCCGTGAGACTGTCTATGTTCCTTCTCTGTTCCAGCTCCTAACCACTCTGGGTTTTGATGTCCTGCTTTGGCTTGGAGTCCGCCAGGAAGAATTCGCCCGCTCTTCTTGCTTTTGAACCTACCAAGGGATGACACACATGCTCAGGGTGAATGAGAAGTCATGTTTAAAATAATCCTTTCTTTAGTCATACCCAGTCTTAACTTCATACAATGTGGATCTTACAGGACTCAACAATTAATCAAAAAGTCATAAGCTAACAAAATAGGAGCTCTCTGCCAAGAACCCCTGTGCTGCAGGTTTTGGGGTTTTGGGGTTGCTTGATTTATAGGGATCCCATCCACTGGGAATGCAGAACCATGTGCCAGAGTGGTGGAGCATCATTCCTCCTGAAGATGGCTTGGATGAGAGCCTGCCCATGCTGCATCTGTTCTGCAGATGAAGAGAGACACACACAAAGCCAACTATTGTGCTCTTGGACTTCCATGGCCTGAACGGCCCAAGCAAAGCTGTGATGGCTGAGCGTTAACATGCAGTGAATGGAACTTGGCCTTCTTTGGAAAAAATCTTTTTCATTTTGAAAAATACTTGAATACCATATTCAGAAGTTCATGACTACCGAGAGGGAGTTTTAGGCAAATAATCAGCCCCTATCCCTTTTTCAGGATAGATTTTCCATTTTAATTTCCAACTACAAACAGCATGAACAGAATATGAACATGTATTAAGAGTTTTCTATGTGCCAGACACTGTTCTAAATGTATTACCTATTGCTTTCTTCAATCCTCAGCACAATCCTATGAAATAAGTTCTCACTTACAGATGAGGAAGCTGAGGCTGAGCGAAGAGGTTAAGTAACTTGGCTAAGGTCACACAATAATGAAACAGCAAAGCCAGATTCAAATACAGATAGTCTGATGCCTGAATGGAGACTCTTAACCAGTACTCTTTATTTTCTCTTAACGAATTCATCACCCTGTTTTAGGTGAGTGAGTGTTAGAGGTGCGATGTGCCTGGAATGCAGATTCCTAGATGATTCTTCTTATGTGTAGATCTGATATGTTTTTGCCAACTTCCTAAGCCAATGCAGGGCATTCAGGTCACAGGACTGGATCTGTAGTGTATTGTTGAGCCCTGGTAGGTGGTGTGGGCTCTGGGTGAGGTATCAGCATGGCTTCATTTAGCAAGTGAATGTGAGGGAGAAGCAGAGTGGTAGGCAGCCTCCAAAATGGCCCCCACTGATCCCTTGGTCCTAATATTTATGCCCTTGTGTAATTCCTTCTCCTTCTATGTCAGCTGGACTTAGTGACTTGCTTATAACAAATGGAATAGGGCGGAAATGATGGAATTATAAAAAGACAGTGTCTTCCATCTTGAGTCTCACTTTCTACTGGATCACTCGTCCTTGAGGAGTCCAGCCACCATGTAAGGTAGCCCTGTGGAGAGACCCACATGGTGAGTGAGTGATATGTGCCACAAACTGAATGAGTGAGCTTGAAGATGAATCTGACCCCAGTCAAGCCTTCAGATGAAACTGCAGCCCTGGCTGACAGCTTGACTGTAACCTCATGAGTGACCTTGAGCCAGAGGCACTCAGCAAAGCTGTGTCTGGATTCCTATCTGGCAGAAATTGTGACATGGTAAATGTTTGTTGTGTTCAGTTGCTAAGCTTTGGGACAATTGGTTACACTGCAATAGATAATGAATGCAAGGAGCAGCTGGGACCCATCTCCTCCTTTAGGTGTAGACAACTGACCTGGCCATTGAAGCCACTGTCTCCATCCTCCATGCTGAGCTTGGATGAGGAGACAGATCATCCTGGCTCATGGGAGCCACAGCCACCCAATAAGTTTTACCTCATGCCCTTGCCACCCCAGTACCCTGATTCCTTAACCAAAAAATGAATCTTGACAGAAAACTCTAAATTCTACACAGCACTTCCAGGTACATTCTCCTTTGGATTCTTATAATTGCCCTAGGACACACATAGATGAGGAAACTGAGTCTCCAAGACTGGTGTAACTCTCTGTATGGTTTATAAGTTCTTTTATTTTCAAGGTCTCTCTCAAGACATACTTATGTTAGAGCTCAGAGGAGTTGAAAGAACTGCTAGAGCCAGGGCCTAAACTCAGACAAAAGAAAGACTAGCTCCAACATAGCTCCAACATAGCTCCAACATAGCTCCCGCCTGCCCCCTGCCTGGTTTCTAAGCCTCCGTGCACCTCTGAGCCTCACCCTGCCTCTTGGGTACCACAGAAGAAATGCTTCTGAGGAGAGACCGTGTGGAGAGGGAGCGCTGAGGAGTTAGGCTCCCCTCAGATGGGGTTCTTTAAAAATTCTGAAACGATGTCGTAGAAAAATATGCACACACATAAAAACGAAACCCCCGAACATATTCTTTTCTAGCTATGAATTGAGGATAATAACATTGTGTTTGATTTTGAGGGTTTTTATGAAGATTAATTTTTATGAAGAGTAATTACTTGGTTAATTAATTAACTCAACAAATAGAATGTTTTCCATGTCCCAAGTATTATTCTAGAAACTCAGAATGGTGGAGCACAAGGTCCAGAAAATTCCTCCCCACTTGGGCTTGCATTCAACTGAAAAGATGTAGTTTATAGGAGTTAAACTTATCTATGGTTATAATTAGTGTTTAGAGGTGGGCTACTTTTTTCACTGAATTTATGTCATATATACTGTTGCATAGGTTTTAGTCACTTAATTAAATATTTTAATTGCTGTAGTTAGTTAATCTTGCCTAACTGATGGGCATTTTGAGTTTTTCAGTTTTGACCATTATGAACAGTTTCTGTAAACAATTCTGTATAATTAACTTCTAACAATTCTTTTGAATTATTTCCATAAAATAAATTCATAGAAGGGGATTTGGGCTAAAGGGTGTGAATATTTTTTTACTCTTTTTAGATAATACCAGATCACGCTCCAGAAATTACCAAATCAAATAACTATCAACAAGGTATTTTTTTATACCTGGCATTCTTGGCATTGGTTTCTTGATCATTTAATTCCTTTTTGCTAATTTCAAAGGTACTTGAATTTTATGAAGTTGAACATTTTCTTTCATGTCATAAAAACAAGCCTAGTTACAGTGAATGAAGATGTGGTAATAACTTCTCAAAAATCATAGTGACTTACAATGATGGAGGTTTATTTCTTGCTCGTGCTAGATTCCCACTGTGAGTTGACCTGTTCCTGTCCTCATTCTAGGGGTCAGACTGGTGGGGCAGCCACCATCTGAAATGATGCTGGTCGCTGAGGCAGTGGTCAAGGGAGAGTAGCAAATCACATGTAGGTTATTAAACAGTCTGGCTGGAATGTTATTCCTTCTGCCGTTTCAGTAACTTCCAGCCAAAGCAAGTCACATGGCCATACCCTACTTCAAGTGCAAGACACCTTCCAGTCTGTCATGGGACCAAGAGAAGATACGGAAAAACCAGGAAGGTAGAACTAATGACCATCACGTAACGGTTTAGCATTTGTAAATTTTCTTTTATATATTGACTATCCTTTTATTGCCTTTTGGTATGTAGTGATCCAGAAAGAAGAGTATAATGTTCTTTATTTGATGCTTTTCTCTGGGAATTTGTTCTCACATCGTTACCCAATGGAACTCTGATATGGCAGAGTTTCCTCTTGTTTCTGTTCTTTTAACAACCCAAGACCAGCATTAACTGGGGGTGGTTCTTATCTTGTCTTCCCTTTTCCTTTTTGGTATGTCAGAGAGACAGCCTTGAGAAGCATCCAATCATCTTTTCCCCATTCTCAATGCTGGGGCATTGCTCTCTCGGGTTTTCTTGTAGTTTTCAGACTAATTGGCATGAAGTTGGAAAAGTCACTTTGAGCCAAAATGTCAATGGACCTAACTAAGTTGTGATCATAGGATAGTGAGTTACTTGTTCCTTTTCAAAGGCAAGCTGGTGTAGCTTCACATCTCATTAACTGGTGCTTTCTTTGATGTCACTTGTGTAAAAGAGACTGTCATTAAAAACGATAGAAGTGGCTGGGTGATTTGGCTCATGCCTTTAATCCCAGCACTGTGGGAGGCTGAGGTAGGAGGATCACGAGGTGAAGAGATCAAGACCATCCTGGTCAACATGGTGAAACCCCGTCTCTACTAAAGATACAAAAAATTAGCTGGGTGTGGTGGTGCGTGCCTCTAGTCCCAGCTACTTAGGAGTTTGAGACAGGAGAATCATTTGAACCCAGAATACAGAGGTAATTGAGTCATGAAGGTGGGTTTTTCCCATGCTATTCTCATGATGGTGAATAAGTCTCATGAGACCTGATGGTTCTATCAAAGGGCCGTTTCCCTGCACATGCTCTCTTGCGTGCCGCTGTGAGATGGGGCTTTGCTCCTCTTTCACCTTCCGCCATGACTGTGAAGCTCTCCAGCCATGTGAAGCTATGAGTCTTTATTAGCAGGGTAAGAACAGACTAATATAAGTAGTTTGAATGGTGGTCCCCCAAAATATATGTGAATATACTGGATTCTTTTAATGTGACCTTATTTGGAAAAACGTCTTTGTTAATATAACTAAGTAAAGTCAGGCAGCTTGAGATAAGATCATCCTAGATTACCCAGATGGGCCTTAAATCTAATGACAAATGTTCTCCTATGAACCAGAAAATGAGGAGACACAGACACAGAGAAGAGGGTATAGACCTGTGGAGATGGTGGCAGGGGCTGTGGTGATCTGGCCACAAGCCAAGGAATGCCTGCAGCCTCTGGAAGATGGGAGGGGTGAGGAAGGCTCCTCCCCTAGAGCACTGCTGACACCTTGATTTCTGAAGTTTGCCTTCCAGAATCATGAGAAAATAAACTTCAGTTGTTTTAAGTCACCAAGTTTGTGGTAAGTTATTACAGCAGCCACAGGAAACAAAACATATCCTATCGAATCCCTTTTCCTTTGTGCTTCCTTTCCTTAGCTCTTTTCCGGATGTCTTGGCTATTTTTCCAGAATAAAGTTTATGAAAGTTCCAGTTTTCTTTTCTGATTTCTACACACCCCTCTTGACTGATACATACTGGTGCAACAACTTGCACACAGCAGCAGCTGGTGCAAACCTGTGGCTATGGCCCTGTTGAAGATCCTGTCTGATTGGAGTCTTTGTAGTACTAAGCTGGTGCTTGAGGTTGCAGAGAGAAGCGAAGGCGGTAGAGCCAGGAAATAGGGAGAGGAAAGCTCTAGGGCATGAGGCTAGGTCCAGAACAAATTTTATGGGCCAAATGCATGATTTTCAGCTATTTATAAGAAAGGATCCTTGTGCATTGCCTTGTGGGAAGGGTAGGGGTATGTTGGGACTTTAGAGCCTAAGAATGTTCTAGGTCTTCTGAGTCTGAGAAAACTTCAAGTCTTCTTTCTTGATAAATGTCTCTCACTGTCTTCTGTAGAAAAATAGCTCCTCCTACTAAATGGCAGAAGCAGAGGTGAGTGTGTTATACCACAGCCTGTCTTCCTTCCCTCCCTCCCTCCCTCCCTCCTTTCCTTCCCTCCTTCCTCTCTCTCTCTTTCTTTCTTTCTTCAGAATCTCACTTTGTTGCCAGGCTGGAGTGCCATGGCACCATCCCGGCTCACTGCAACCTCCACCTCCGGGGTTCCACTGATTCTCCTGCCTCAGCCTCCCAAGTTACTGGGACTACAGGCGCATGCCACCACACCCAGCTAATTTTTATATTTTTAGTAGAGACAGGGTTTCACCATGTTGGCCAGGATGGTCTCGATCTCTTGACCTTGTGATCCACCTGCCTCAGTCTCCCAAAGTGCTGTGATTACAGGCGTGAGCCACTACGCCCGGCCAGGCCAAGCATTTGCTGGCATTGAGTGAGGGCTCACGTTAACCATGAATATCATGCCTGGGATACCTGGAGATAATGATGCGAAGGAGAAGGGGAGTCCCATCTGGGATTGTGCCCAAAGAGTGATGGAAGAAGGGGAACCCAGATGGATCCAAGGAACAGATCTGGGGGACCTAGTATAGAAAGTCTAGAAACAACAGAGACCAAGAGGAGTTGGGGAGTGGACGGATTGGTCATGGCCAGCTGGGGAGGGTTTAGACTTCTCTTCCTCACTTCGCAGACCAGGGAGCTGCCAGTGTAACTGGAGAGACAGTTGGCTCTGCTGATATTGGTTTATTTTTTAAAAATAAACTTTTAATTTTAGAATAGTTTGAGATTTGTGGAATTGTGAAGATAGCATAGAGTTCCCATGTACGCCACATCCCCTCTTATTATTTTACATCACTAATTAACATTAGTATGATACATTTGTCATAATTAATGAACAGACATTAAGGCATTATTTTTAACTGAAGTCCACCCTTTGTTCAGTTTTCCTTAGTTTTCCCCTAAAGTATATGTATATAATGGTTTCAAGTTGTTAACTGTACCGTCATGGGAAATGACTTTATCAGCTAGAGTACAGTGCTGGGGTTATATATAGTTCCTCAGTCTTACAGATTCCACTCACTGCCAAAGTTACTGTACCTTATTCCCCTACATTCTGCATTTCATCCTAGGCTCTTCTGACCTCTGAAATAATTTTATTCCAGCTTCAATTGAAAAATGCCAGAGAAGGAATTACACTTGCACCAGTCCTTGTAGTTAGAATAATCGGGTACTTTGATCATCAGGGACTATGTTGGTTGACCTGTTCTGTGCTGAGAGATGGTGTTGGGTTGCTGGGGTTGTCTCTCTGTCCATAATCACATAACTGGTATGGAAGAGAAGAAGTTCCCCCAAGGGAAATGGGGTGTGGGACAGACACACAACAGATACCCACTGTATTCCACTCCTTAGTCCCACAGTACACATGCACACATTCTTCTTCCTACTTTTATAGCTAGAAACATAGCCTTTCCTAATGAAATTTATATGTCTTCTCTCCCCAAAGGCAGTCAATTTATAATCCACAGTTATCATAAGCAGCTGCAAGTCCAGGAGCCCTGGGTGGTATGTTTTGCTCTCAGCTAGATTTGAATGTGGCTCTTCAAGGTCAGGCAAATTCTTGCCCAAAAGTATTTGGATTCTAACAAAGAAGAAAAAAGCAGGGTAATATTTAACCAAAGATATATATTTTTAATAGAAGAATAGCAGGAGAGATTTTCTTGACCAGTAAACATTTGTACTTTTGTAATTCTTTTCATATAATGCTGTGCAGGTACTTAATGACTCTATCCGTGTTTTAGCCTGGGTCTGTGGAGAAGTCAAACAGTGAATTCATGTGTTCTGGAGACATCAGTTTCTACCCTCAGCATTGCTTAATGTGTGTTCTGATTTTGTTTGCATACAGGGTTCATTTCTCAGTGCCAATTGAAATTCAAATAAGTATCTTTTGCATTCTCTTGATAGTTTCATTTAGTAATCACTTTGTGTCTGTCAAGAATTTTATGTATGTTCTTCTTTAACTCCATTAATCTTAGCTGAATTTCAAAGCATTATAATTAAATTGTATCAAATTGTTTACTTTGAAACCCTTTTTAAAATGTCAATGGACTGGAATTAATTTCTAATTGGTACAGAGTGCCTGCAAAGGCAGAATGAGTTGCAATATGCAACCATTGCGAATATGATGAGACCAGAGTTGACATTAATAAAAGAACTGTAATAATTTACCATCTGTTTGATCAGCTGATGCTTCTTAGCATATCATAAAAGACTACAGAAGAAAGCCATTTTCAGTTCATGAAAGGTAATGATGCTGTGATTCCAAGCAGAACCTCTCAGTGGTTGCATCTTTATCACTTCCGTTCTCTTAAGAATTCTGGTGTGTATCACACACACACAGTTTTCAAGTTCCTGGTAGAATATTTTAAATATTTCCATTTAACAAATCAATGGTTTTAATATGAAAATCCAAGTTGAATATAACTGTCCCACTCCCAAAAATGATAAGGGTTTTAAAAGTAGGATTTCGTATATATTATAGGTTATATAGACCAATATTAGGACATAAGTTTAACATCTGCTGAATAAACATCGCTTCTCTCAATTCTTTCAATGTATTACTATGACTGCATATATGAGTCATTTGGAGATAATGTCAAAAGTTTCAATTTAAGACTGTTTATGAATGTCAGACCCTGCCCTCTGCCTCCTGGCTTCCTGGGCTCCCCATAACAGATGACTCTGATTAGTTGTGCTTCACAGCTCGCAAATCTTTGGTAAGTCCTTAGTCTTCCACTATGGTCTTCCACATTTCGGTTTTCACTTGCCCATTTCCCTTACTTCTTGTCAATTATCTTCCTTCTACTCCTATTCTTTCCTCTGCATGGGAACCCCTTCCCAGTTTTATCTAGTGGCTCCTGAGGGCAGTGATCCTGTATGGCTCATGGCATAGCTCATGTGTGGTTATAATATTTCTGTAGATACTTGCCAAAAAAATGATTATCTATTTACAGTCTACCCATTTTTCAAAAACAGGCTCAAATAATACCACTTCTAAAAAGATCTCTCTGATTCCTTCATCTGGAACTAACCTCTATGTCTGTACATTGTGATCTAGAACTCTGTTATAGCACTTTCTACATACAGACATTCTCTGCTGATAATTTCTACTCACACATTTTCAAGAACATGGAAGAACATGGAAATTCCTTCCTTTTTACATAAAAAAACACCAGCCAATCTTATGTTTGTCCTACATATTTGCTGCTGCTTTTTTTTTTTTCCCACAAATTACAATACAACTCTTTTCCTACCAAAGTTTACCCCCTTCACATGTGCTCTGGAACCTATCTTTTCTTCTTTTGATAAGGTACTTGCTCCCTTTCACTCCTCTAACATCAATCAGTCTTCTCTTTATAGCATAATTTTCACCAGCACTCAAATGTGTTCTAGTATTTCCCTTCTTAACAGATAATCCCTGTTGATGTCACATACTTTATGAATCGCCATCACATTCTCTTTCCTCCCTTTCGCAGCAAAACTTCTTGAGTTGCCTGTTTTACCTGTTTCTTGTCCTCATCTTTTATTCTCTTATCCTAGTTAGACTTGGTTTATAACCCCACCAGTTCACTGAGGTTGTTTCTACTGAGGTCACCAGATTGAATTCTATGTTGCCAAACCCTACATTCATTTTTATATCTATATTTATTCAGGGTCTCAGAGACATTTAACATAGTGCTGATAACTTGGTTTTTAAAAAATATTCTTTAATGTTGACTTTCATGACACCACACTCACCAGATTTTACTTCTGCCTTTTCAGTTGCTCACCAGTAATGGAGATAAAATGAATCATAAAAAATTCTCAATTAATTAAAAAGAAGGAAGTAAAATAGGGGAAAGGGGAATGAAGAATAGAGAGGACAAATAAAAAACAAAAAGATGGTAAACTGAAATCCTACCATAGGAATAATTAAATTAGATGCAAATGGTCTAAACATCCCAATTAAAAGGCAGATTGTCAGATTGGATAGCAAGACCCCATTATATGCTGTCTACAAGAAAGTATGTAAAGACTACAGATATATTAAAAGTTAAAGGATATAATATATACTCTATTAACCCTAATCCAAAGAAAGTGGAATTGTCCATATTAATATTAGACAAAGTAGACTTAGAACAAGGACTATTACAGGGATGACAAAGGAGAGTTCATAAAGATAAAGTGATTGATTTATAAGGAATACAGAACAATTTTAAAAGTATATTAGTCAATAGAAGAGTTTCAAAATACATGAAGCAAAAACTAACATAACAGAAAGGACAAATGGACAAATTCACACTTATAGTTGAAGATGTCAACACTCCTTTCTCTAAGTGATAGGAGAGGAATATCAGTAGGTATATGTAAGACTAGAACAATATATGAACAATGTGATATAATTGACATTTATAGAAAGCTTTCCATGACTAAGACAGAACGCTCATTCTTTTAATTTTCATATGGACGTTCATTAAGATCATATGCTAAAGCATAAAACAAGTCTCAATAATTTACAAGGCATGAAATAATATGGAATGTGTTCTCTAGTGATAATGGAACTAAATTAGAAATCTATCACAGAGATTGCTTATGGGGAAGATGCAGAAGGACAGAAAAGATGATCCAAGATTAAAACTTTGGGGAATACCAATGTAGTGGAAGTAGAGGAAGAGCTCTTCAGAGAAGGCCAATGAGAAAAGAATAAGGAAAACCAAGAAAGAGGAGTCACAGAGATAAGGGAACGGAGAATTCCAAGGAACAACAATATTACATCTAGAAGTGTCCAATAAGATGAGAACTGAAATAAATCCATTGGATTTGGAGACATGGAGATTACCGGTGACCTTAGCAAGAGAGCAATTGATGGGAAATGAGGAAGTAAAGGCAGTGAGTATCTATTCCTCTTTCAGGCAAATCTTTTTTCTTCTTGGGAAAGTGAAAAATATAAAAACAAGGCAGTGGCTGGAGATAGTCAGGGTCAGAGTAGGGAATTTTTTTCTTTTTTCTTAATTAATTTGCTGTCATTTTCAGATAAGAGAGATTTGGATATGTTTGTAGGCTGAATGTTAAGAACTGGTGGCAAAAGGCAGTTGAAGATACAGAAAAGGAGTGACTTGTTGGAACAACGTTCCCAAGGAGGTGGGAAGGAATGGGATATAGGGTCCAGCCCTATAGGGTTCTGTGAGCCCCTCCCTGCTGGTGCAGAGATGAGAAAAAGACACAGACACAGAGATAGAGAAAAGAGAGTTTGGGCTCAAGGGTCCACTGCCAACCAAAATGCAGAGACCTGCAGTGGCCCCAAGTGCCTGGACATTCTGACTTTTATGGAGTACAAAGCAGAGGGCAGGGAAGGTAGGATGAGGTAATGGTGGTCAGTGATAGGATCAGGTAAATCACGTGTCTTGAAGACAGGGGTCCCAATACTTTCAAGTAGCCGAGGCGAGGAGAAAACCTAATGCATCTGCACTCTTTGCATATTTGTTAGAAATGTCAAGGACATTAATTCTTATCGTCTGAGAAAAAGAGAAACCAAGTGTAGAAGCAGAGCATAAGAGTAGATATGGAGCGTGACCACTGAGGCCCAGCATCACGTAGAGACAGTTAACCCCCCGATGTCTGTGGGCCTCCCTGACAGCCATCAGGCCTTGCCACAAGAGCTTGGAGAAGCGGAGTTTTCTCCTAACTTCCCCAGGAAGGAGAAGTCTCAGTCATTTTGGACATCTCCTTCCCTAGCTGGCTAAACAGCAGGTGCTTTCCCAGCACTGGTGCTGCTACACAGCCGAGGCGCCCTCCAGCAGCCATTATGCACGCATCACAGAGGGCTTAGAGCTTCTTCCCTTAGGATCACCTTGTTCACAATGTCACCTCAGTTCCATGCTTCATAACCTGATAGTCATTAGTAAGATTAAGGGTTATATTGAGTATATATCTTTATGATTATAAGTGAGTATAAGGTTATATGTGATTATATAAAGGAATAACTATTGCCTACATTTCTAATTCTTTTCTAAATCAATATTTATATGGGAACAGGCTGAGGCTTCAGAGCCTTGCCACGGCAATTGTGGGTGCCTGGACACTGACTTTTATCCCTTCAATGGACTTATTACTATAGATGGGGGATTCATCTTGAATACAGAGATGAGAGGCAACAATATATGGATGTGTCTAAATGTAGATGGATTTGCAGGTGGCCGTGGAAATTGCTCACACAAAGCACCTTCATGGATTCATCTTTTACCTTTATGCTGACTCCCAACATTTATTCCTTCTCCTAGCTCTTGAGCTCCAGATGCAACTTCCAGTTTGCACTTATCATGTACAAAAGCAAACTTGTATTCTCCCCAACTTCCCTTCCTGTCTCCTCACTCTTCCTTTTGTCCCCTTTGGACCCAGGCAGCTGGAACCTTGGGTTAGCCTTGGGTGTGGCACATTCTAACTTTAGTTCAGATGAAAGGCTGGGTTTCACTTGTCAAAACTACAGAGGGTAGAGTGGGCTGCAACGTATGGGATGGGGTAGAGAATGGATCATAGACAATGGGTTTTGAGAGGATGAGAAATCAGAGATGGCCAGGCTATCCGAGGATGTCGCCCATTCACAGAGGTGAGACAGGTGGGAAATTCTAGGTAGAAAAATAGCAAAATGAAATTCTGTGAGATTTAAAAAGAGTGAAGGGTGAAAGGTTTGGAAGGTGGGAAGCAGGCCGTCGAGAAAACTCTGAGCTGGTGAAATTCTGGATATAAGCCCTGTCCATGGTGTTCCTTTGAACTTGAACATGATCTTGGAGGGAATCACTGAAAGCACCAACCTGATTTGGACTCCCCGAATCTACTGAAGCCTCCGGCATTCTTATAGACTCCAGATTTGAACTGTGGGCTTTCCCTTTGTGGTTCCGTCTTTCATCCCCATCCCATTCAGATTCATGTTTGAGTGCTAGATATTCTTCCTCCACAATTCTCTCTACTTTGGCCTCCAAAGCATCCATCTCCCTATTTTTTTTTCTCCTCTTGCCAACCACTGTCTAGATTCCTTGCACCTTCTGTTTCTAGTCAGTTAAGTATTGTTAAAAAAAAAAAAAAAAAAAGCTTTTCTCATAGTTTTTCTACTCTTGGCAGAGTAGACCTGGCCAGAAGCCAGTAGTAGCAATGTGCATGAAGATGAAAAATACACACACACACACACATATATATATATATATATATATATATATATATATATATATATAAAATAATGAAGCAAAAGACTGATCCAACCTTGGAAAATAACTTCCCTAAAAATTTAAATTTATAATCTGGGCCAAAATGTCGATTGCTGTTTATTTTCTCTGAGCCAGACATAGTGGCTACAAGTTGCTTGGCTGTCCAGAGATTCTCACAAGGCTTGATAGCCATGCCTCAGACCCCCTGCAGAGTAGATTTAATTAGGGTAAATGATACTCATGTTTTGGCCTGGAGACTTCTTGCTATGGTCCATTTGCCCAACTGTGAGGTTGGGAATCACCCATGCTGGGCCACTCATGTGCTCCTGTCTGTTAACTCTGAATGTCACACATGCTTGGTTGTGTGAGCCCTCAGAAAAGTGTCCTCTTTCCTTCATCTTCACCACCTGGGATCACCTGTGGTTTTGAAACCAATGTGTTTATAGCGTTCACAAGCTGGCCCTACCTCCTCTCTTTGACGTTATTAAGTTTTTCAAGGACAAACCCTCCATTCTGTGCTAGATACAGCTGCTTTTGACACAGAAGAGTCTGGAAACAGGGTCTTGTCAAAATTCAGTTCAGATGCGTGTCTGCGTTTACTCCAGCCTTGGTCCGGTGGCAGCAATGCGTCTGTTGAGAAGAACGGAGCTATAAGTCATGTCAGCCCCCACTCCTAGCCCCCTGCTCACAGAATTAAACTGTTCATTCACCCTCCTATCCTCACACTCAACAAATGTAAAAGCTCACTGGGGCATTTGTTGATAACGGCTCTTTCTGGATCCTACTATAAAGGAACAAGTGCCTCCGACAATCATATGAGGAGAAGTTGTGACAGGTGCTGTCACTGAAGACATGAGAGGTGGGGAGGATGGTAACACGGCCGGCCCCTCTCAGCCCACCTAGAAAAGGCAACTCCAGAGACTGAGCTGGTAGGGTGGGAGACATGGAAGACAGGCAGCTTAGAGGAGGCTTATAGGAGAAAGCCCTGGATTTCACCAAGCCATCCGGACCACCCATGGGGGACATGCTCAGGATAAATCTGGAGGGCAGAGGCTAAGAACAGCCTCCAGGTTCCAGGGCTGGTAACACAGTGGTGCATTGGTTCCTGTTGATTGTCCCTGGCCTGGGTGTGACTAAGGAAGTGGAAAGACACAGTCTGGGTCCCTGACTCCTTCTGGGTCTGGGATTTCCCCTGATAGTGGTTATTACCAGGTATCACCTGTTTTAGGGGAGTGTTTGGAAATGTGAAAGGGGCATTTTAGTCACCATGTGCGGGCACTGGCGTGACAGGCTGAGCATAGAAGCTAAAACTCAGAAAGACCCAAGATCGTGGCACCAGCAAGAATTTCTCCTGTTGGGATGTGAATCTTTGAGAACATACACGAAGTTCTCAAGGCCTCCCAAGGAGGAGCCCTGCACGTTTGGACGGACTCTGAAGCAGGTCTGAGTTTAAACATGGTGTCTGGCCCCTGCCTTTTCCTGACTGAAGGGCATTGCCTGTGGGGGCACAAAGCTCTCTGCAACCGAAAAGAAGGCCCACAGCTCAGCCTTTCAGGAGTAGGCACAGCCCCAGCATTAGCTAGGAACACAAAGTCTCTTAGACGCTTGGAAAGGACTGCAGGCGCTGGAAGGACAAGCCCCCAAGATGATGAGACCCATCCTTCACTATCACCACAGCAAAGAATGTTTGTAGTTCACTTACTTCCCTGAGAGCAGCATGAGGTTCTCTGGCAGGATTCAAGGTGAGACCAGTGTTAGAGGGTTGGATGGGAAACAGTATTAGTTTATTTCACCTGTGGCCCTCGGAAAACAAAGGTAACCCCAGAGATAGAAGTTCATTCAGCTTCCAGAAGGTTCTAGATGTTTGGACAACTTGGCTTTTCTCTCCCAGGCACTAACCTTTATGCCCACCCAGTCGTTGGTCTGTCAGTCTCTTTCCTTGAACCAGAGCAAT